AGTCAGTATGACATGCAGATGAGTGCCGTCGATCTTAGAATCACCGCACACTTCACTCATTTGGGCAGTAACGGGGCACGACGAAGAAGAAGAAGAATGAAAAGAAGAAGAAGAATGAAAAGAAGAAGAAGAATGAAAAGAAAAGAAGAAGAAGAATGAAAAGAAGAAGAAGAATGAAAAGAAGAAGAAGAATGAAAAGAAGAAGAAGAATGAAAAGAAGAAGAAGAATGAAAAGAAGAAGAAGAATGAAAAGAAGAAGAAGAAGAATGAAAAGAAGAAGAAGAAGAATGAAAAGAAGAAGAAGAAGAATGAAAAGAAGAAGAAGAAGAAGAAGAATGAAAAGAAGAATGAGAAGAAGAAGAATGAAAAGAAGAATGAAAAGAAGAAGAAGAAGAAGAATGAAAAGAAGAAGAAGAAGAAGAATGAAAAGAAGAAGAAGAAGAATGAAAAGAAGAAGAAGAATGAAAAGAAGAAGAAGAAGAATGAAAAGAAGAAGAAGAAGAATGAAAAGAAGAAGAATGAAAAGAAGAAGAAGAATGAAAAGAAGAATGAAAAGAAGAAGAATGAAAAGAAGAAGTATTTCAGTACAGCAAAAAGTGTATCTGCAGAGAGCTCCGCTATTTCTGACAGTTCTCTGACAGTTCCTTCACATTTACAGCGGTTGCAACATTGTATCTATTTATTTCCGAATAAAAACATCTGTATCCTAAATGGAAACAAATAGATACAATGTTTCAACCGCTGTAAATGAACTGTCAGAACTGTCAGAAATAGCGGAGCTCTCTGCAGTGACACTTTTGCCGGCTGATCGGGAAAAATTCGATTCGTGCACCCGAAGTTTGCTAAAGTTCGGATTCGGTGCGAATCAAATTTTTCCTGAAATTCGAAACGAATTCCACTTCGCCAGGTTCGATTCGCTCATCTCTAGTGGCAATGAAAAAGGGGAAATGGAAACCAGTTTGGAAAATAGCCCCAGATTGTCACTGGGCCTGAATTGTAGCAGCCGACAGTCGATAGAAAACCCAGAGAGGAAAGATCTTGAAAAGGATTTACAAGTGCCGAATAAAAGAGAGATGGCCGAAATGTTTAAAAATTTGGAAAAAACTTTTAAGCAAGAAATGACAAATATTCAACAGGATCTAGGGCACCTGTTAAAGAGAATGGAAGAAATGGAGGAAAAAATTAATAAACACACCCAATTTATTTCAGGCTTAGAAAAAAGGGCTGCTATGATGACGAATACGCAGAAACAATTGCTGTATAAAATAGAAAGTACAAGAGAACAGGAATAGGAGAAGCAACTTGAGGATAAGAGGAATCCCAGAAAATTTGAAAGGGAGAGAACTTCAAGAAATAGTCTGTAAAATGTCAAACTCCATTATGGACAGACCTGAAACAGATGTAATTAAATTGGATGGAGTATATAGAACACAGGAAAGTTCCATCATGGTAATGAGAAGGCAAAACCCAGAGATGTAATTGTTCAGCTGCATAATTATGGAGATAAGGAAGAGATTTGGAAAAGGACTAAAGGAAGAACAACTATTAAGTATGGAGATATAAATATTCAGATATTTGCGGACTTATTGTATGAGACATTGTGGAGAAGGAGATCCTTGAAACCCCTATTAGAGCAGATGAGAACACGGAATGTTCAATATAGATGGGGTAACCCAGAGTGTTTAATCGGATGGAAGAATGGTGTAGCAGCATATCTGAGATTTCCTGAGGACTTGAGAGACTTCTGCGATAGACTGGAATTGCACAGAATAAGGATTACTGGGTGGGAAACAGAGGAGAGAGACAGGCAATGGGGGAAAAGAGGAATGGCAGACAGTAGGTAGGGGGGAGGTAGGGAGGAGTTAGAGGGGATAATGTGATTTTTTTTTTTTTTTTTTTTTTTTTTTTTTTTTTAATATTCCTCTCTATCTCTTTCAACCGCACCGCAAAAGTGGAAAGATGTGGAGAGAACGAGGGTAATCGGGGGTGGTTGGAGGTGGGAAAGCTGTACATGGGAGAAGTTCAACCCCAAGGTTTTAAAAAAAAAAAAAAAAAATCAAAGGTGGTCTTATACCCACAAATGATTGAAGGGCAATTTGAAGGCCTAAAAAATGGGGGGGTGGGAGGGGGGGGTTGGAGGGAAAGGCGAGGGAGGGGGGAGGAGGAGGGAGGGGGCGGGTTGGGAGAAAGGGAGGGGGGAAGGGACGGGAGTTGGGTGGGAGGGAGGGAGGGGGAGGAGGTATTGGGTCAATACTCTGCATGACACAAGGGATAAAGAGGAAGAGGCAATCTGGAAGAGAGATGGAGTTAATTGGGAATGATGGAAGAAAATACAGTTTATAACCTATAATGTGAACAGGCTGAGTTGTCCAGGGAAGAGATTTAGGTTGTTTAAGGAGTTTACATCATAGGGCTACGTCAGTGGTATTTTTACAGGAGACGCACTTTGAGATAGAGGCAAACGTGAAATTGAAATCCAAACACTACCCAACATGGTACTATGCAGATTCTCCAATTAAAAGAGCAAAAGGGGTTGCAATAGGTTGGCAAAGAATATGAGATTTGAGCTGGAGGATAGAAGAACCGACCCGGAGGGGAGGTTTTTATTCTTAAAAGGTAGACTTCAGGGGATTGAGTGTACTTTAGCCAATATATACTGCCCTAATAAAAACCCGGAGATGTATATGAAGGGTCTGTTGAAAAAATTAATGGAATTTAAAAAAGGGCGCTTGATAGTAGCTGGAGACCTAAATTTTTGTATGGACCCACAAAAGGATAATACCTCTTCCGTGCAAAGAGAGGGGAGTAGGTCTCTGAGAGCTTTGAAAAAAGTGATGCATGAATATCAACTAGTGGACACCTGAAGAATAATGCATATGAAAGACAGAGACTATACCTTCTTCTCTAATGCACATGAGATATACTCGAGATTAGATTACATCTTAATAGACCATCAACTTATAGATCATCTGGTTAAAATTGACATAGAGACAAGGACGTTTCTGGATCATGCTCCGGTCATAATGAAAATGGGATGGGGAGAAGGTGGACTGGAGGATTAGGGTGGAGGTTAAATGAGGTTCTTCTTCTGGATGAGGATTTAGTTCAGAAAATCGAGAAAGAGATTAAGGTATACTTTAAGGAGAATGAAACAGAGGAAGTATCGATAGCTACAGTCTGGGAAAGCCATAAGGTATTCATAAGAGGAATCTTGATTGCGGTAGGAGCAAGGAAGAAAAGGGAAAGAAGAGAGAGGGTCAGTGGGCTTTTAAAAGAAATATTGGACTTGGAGCAGATCCATGAGAAGAAAATAACAAAAGATACGAGACAGAAGTTATTGGATAAAAAAGATGATCTAGAGAGGCTGATGGGATGAGGAGAAGAGAAGAGTATACAACAGGGTTTTGAACGAGAGATATAGATGGGGAGACAGACCAGGAAGATATCTAATGAGAGCTTTGAATAAAAAGAAAAATAGGAACTATATAGAAAAGATAAAAAGTTCAAAGGGGGAGTTGGTCCACTCAAATAAAGAGATTATTAGAGTGTTTACGGAGTATTACAAAAAGTTATATAATATTAGTCCCAAGGCCCTCTAAAAGAAGCTCAAGAGGGAATTAATGAAAAAAAGATGACATACTTAAAAAAAATGCGGGATTATCAAAACTAAGTAAACCACAGTTGAACTCCCTAGACGCAGAAATTTCCCAGGAAGAAATTAAAATAGCATTAAGAAGCACAGGGGGGGAAAAAGCCCAGGCCCGGATGGCTATACAGTTAAGTACTATAAGAAATTTAGTGAAGTACTGTTACCCAAGCTGGAGAAATATATGAATGCTCTGGGAGGTGGGATGGAAGTGAGGAGAGAATCCCTACAGGCCCATGTAGTACTTATTCACAAGGAGGGAAAAGATCCATCTCAGTGCTCCAGCTATAGACCTATCTCATTATTGAACACAGACACTAAACTGTATGCAAAGGTGTTAGCAAACAGGTTGAGGGATCTGATGCCTGAATGGATCCATGGAGACCAGGTGGGCTTTGTACCGGGGAGAGAAGGTAGAGATAACGGCTTGAACCCTGATGCTTATTCAGAAAAGTAGAAAAGGGAAAGCCCCGGTGGTGCTCTTGTCAATTGATGCAGAGAAGGCATTTGATAGAGTGGACTGGGGACTTTATGATGGACAACTTAAAAGTGCTGGGGATAGGCGATAGAAACGTGAGAGTGGATAAGTAAATTATATAGGGAGCCTACTGCAATCATCACGGTAAATGGGGAGAGATCAGAACCCATTGGAATGTCTAATGGTACAAGACAGGGCTGTCCACTGTCCCCTCTGCTATATGTATTGTCACTCGAACCTCTGTTGTCAATAATAAGAAATAGTGGATCGGTAAAGGGAATTCAGATAGAATCCCCATAGAACATAGAGTAGCGGCCTTTGCGGACGACTTATTGTTCTATGTGGGGAATCCCCCGAATAACTCTCCCAAATATAATGAAGATTCTGAAGGAGTACGGTGAACTATCAAATTTAAAAAATTAATCCAACGAAAACAGAGATCCTGAATATTAATATATCAAAGAATGAAAAAAGAAAAACTACAAAAAGAATTCCCCTTTTATATGGAGAGAAAAAGAGATAAAATACCTAGGAATAAAACTCACTGCCTCATCTAGGCATTTGTATAGATTAAACTATATCTCTTTGATAAATGAGATCAGGGAAGATTTAAAAAGACTAGAAGGAGGAAATCCATCCTGGATAGGACATATAAACCTAGTCAAAATGGTAATTATGCCTAAAATACTGTATAGATTTCAAATGGTACCAATTAAAATTCCAGAAGCCTTCTTTAAGATAATGAAAAAAATGTTAACAAGATACATATGGAAGAATAAAAAACCTAGAATAGCATATGAAACATTGAGTAGGACTAAAGAGAAAGGGGGATTGGGTCTACCAGATGTCAAGAGATACTATAAAGCAGTGGTTTTAGCAAGAATATATGACTGGACATTTAACCATAAGGGGAAAAGCTGGATAACAATTGAAAATGATCTTAGTGGCATTAGATTGAGTCAGATGATATGGGTTCCACCACAGTTCAGGGGAATTAAAGAAAGCACAAGTATCTACACTTTAAATGTCTTTAGGGTATGGGACAATTTACACAAAAACATGAAATGGGAATTTAATTTATATATTAATGCCTCTCACAAATACTGAGTACTTTCCCCCGGGAAAGAATAAGATATCAGGGAGATGGTTTAGAAAGGAGGGATACCCAACTGAGAGATGTTTGGGTGGAGGGGGAATTGAGATCACTTAAAGATTTAATAGAGAAGAAGGGAGATATTTTTATTAGAATAGATGAGTAGAAATATCATCAATTGAAATGTTTTATTGGAAATCTACCGAAACCCCTGAGACTAAAACAGGACTGGAATATGTTTGAAAGGTTGTGTCACGGTGTAAGGTCAGGTTCAGAGACCAGTTGCTATAGCAGTAAAAGGCTTACCTGGAACCAGCAGGATAGGTACACCAGCGGATCCCCCTGGGAATGACGCAGGCTCACCTGAGGTTGCGGGGTCTAAGTATTAACCGGTATTCACCAGAGCTCCTAATGGTGGAGATGGATTGGGCTGCGTGTTAATACCAGGTCGCAGATCTCAGGATCACCCCACCAGGGAATGAGCAGACTGGGAACCAATAGCGGATCAACAGGTTAGGGATCAGACGAAAGCAGAGTCGGTCACAAGCCAAGGGTCGGTCACAAATGGTAGCAAATCAATCGTGGTCAGGAACAAGCCAAAGGTCAGTAGCGGAGGTGTAGACAGCAGCAGGAACAGTAGCAGGATATTGGCTGGAAAGGCACAATAATCTGGCAAGGGAGGAAGTCCAAGGACATGGCTTATATAGGAAGTTCATGGGAGGAGCAAGGAGTTCAAGGTTCAAGAGCAAACAAGGCACAAGCAGGATTATCCAATAGATGAGGCAAAGTGTTGTCCAGCATCCCAGGTAGCTCAGTGAGTAGAGTTACTGCCTGACACAGTAGAAGTCCCAGGTTCGAGTCCAGGCCCTGACAGGTTGTTAGAGACACGAAGGGATGGGAAGTACGGTATTTCAAAAGTGTATAGAATACTCACAGAATTAGACACAAACACAAAGTTAATTTTTATAACAAAATGGGAAAGGGATATGGGAGTTGGGTTTGATGAAGATAGACAGAGAAAGATGTTTAGATTGATACACGATAATGTTAGTATGAGAGAGGTTGAGGTTAATTATAAGTGTGTGACACGATGGCACATTACACCGAGTGTAGAGCACAAGATGAATGGGGAAAATTCAAATATGTGTTGGAGAGGATGTGGAGAGATAGGCACGGTGTTTCACATATGGTGGGAATGTCCGAAAATCCAGGCTTTTTGGAAGATAATAGTCAAATTGATTGAAGAAATAACTGAAATTGACATAGGGTTAGACCCAACGACGTGCCTCCTATACAATGTGGAGACATCTGTAAATAAATATAAAGATTCAGGTATATGGTACTTCTTGAATGCGGCGAAAGGGTTGATACCCAAGTTTTGGCGGAGATCTGAGGTGCCGAGGGAGGAGGACTGGATTAATAGAGTGAACCAGATAGGTAGAATGAAAAGATCATACCATATGCAGGAGGATAGGATGAGAGTTTATTTTAGGAGATGGGGAAAAGTGGGAAAGAGCAGGATTGAAAGAGAAATATAGGGAAAAATATGAACTAGGATGTTAGCAAAAAATTAATAAGCCTCAAGAGATTAGAATGGGCTAGAGTCTGCAGAGGGTGAGGAGGGGGGATGGGGGGCGGGAAGGGGGGGGTAGTGGGATGGGAAAGAAAAGAGTTTTTAGTAAGGGAAAGGTAGAAATGTTATAAATGTCTATTTGTATGGGAATTATTTCCCTTTTTGGGTTTTTGTATTGACATGAGAAGTTTGATAAATATTTGGGTTAAAAAAAAAAAAAATACACACATACCACACTTTTCAGATATTTATCTGTAAAAAATGTTGAAAACCATTTATCATTTTCCGTCCGCTTCACAATTATATGCCACTTTATGTTGGTCTATCACATAAAATCCCAATAAAATACATTTAAAGTTTTGATTGTAACATGACAAAATGTGGAGACTTTCAAGGGGTATGAATACTTTTTCAAGGCACTGTGTGTGTATGTGTGTGTGTGTGTGTGTGTGTGTATGTGTGTGTGTGTGTGTATATGTTATATATACACCCTGTTCCAAATTATTATGCAAATTCTATTTAAGTGTCACAAAGATTAAATATTTTGTTTTTCAGTTTAACTCATGTATGGCATTGTGTCTCAGGGCACAATCTCGGACACCTGTGATAATTAGATTGGCCCGGTGAGCCCAATTTAAGGAAAAACTACTAAAGGAGGGTATTCCACATTATTAAGCAGAGCACCATTTTCAAGCAAATATTGGGAAGAAAAATGATCTCTCTGCTGCTGAAAAGAGTGAAATAGTTCAATGCCTTGGACGAGGTATGACACTATTAGATATTTCACGAAAAACTTAAGCATGATCTTCGCACTGTTCAGAGATTTGTGGCTGATTCAGAGCACAGATGGGTTTGTGCAGATAAAGGCACATTGAGGAAGATTTCTGCCAGATCCATGCATCGGATCAAGAGAGCAGCTGCTAAAATATCATTACATAGCAGCAAACAAATAATTGAAGCTGCTGGTGCCTCTGGAGTCCCACGGACATCAACGTGTAGAGTCCTCCAGAGTCTTGCAACTGTGCATAAACCTTTTATTCGGCCACCATTAACCAATGCTCACAAGCAGAAATGGCTGCATTGGGCAGAAAAATACATGAAGACTAATTTTCAAACAGTCCTGTTCACTGATGAGTGCCTTGCAACCCTGGATGGTCCAGATGGATGGAGTAGTGGATGGTTGGTGGACGGCCACCCTGTTCCAACAAGGCTGCAACGTCAGCAAGGTGGTGGTGGAGTCATGTTTTGGGCCGGAATCATGGGAACAGAGCTGGTTGGACCCTTTAGGGTCCCCCCAAAGTTGTTAAGATGACCTCTGCAAAGTATGTGGCGTTTATGACTGACCACTTTCTTCCCTGGTACAGAAGGAAGAACTATGCTTTCCATAATAAAATCATCTTCATGCATGACAATGCACCATCTCATGCTGCAAAGAATACCTCTGCATCAATGGCTGCTATGGTGTTAAAAGGAGGGAAAGTCATGGTGTGGTCTTTATCCTCCCTGATCTCAATCCTATTGAGAACCTTTGGAGCATTCTCAAGCAAAAGATCTATGAGGGTGGGAGGCAGTTTACATCCAAACAGCAGCTCTGGGAGGCTATTCTGACATCTTGCAAACAAATTCAAGCAGAAACTGTCCAAAAACTCACAAGTTCAATGGAAGCAAGACTTGTGAAGCTGCTATCAAATAAGTGGTCCTATGTTAAAATGTAACGTGACCTGTTAAAATGTTTAAAAAGTTAAAATGTTGTTAAAAGTTTGATTGAAATAGCTTTTGATTTCAATAAATATGCTGCAAACACAACAAATGACAATTTTCAGGTCTTTACAACCTATAAAGTGTTTTGAAACTTACTGTGCGTAATAATTTGGAACAGTGCATTGTAAGTTTTTTATGTTTAAAAAAAATCCTGTTATCATTAGGAGGGTTTGTTCAATAAAATTTGAATTGTACCCTTAATAGTTAACATGAGAATTATGCTGACTGTTATTTACATCAATTATTTAGGTAAATGAGAAAAATATAATTTGCATAATAATTTGGAACAGGTGTGTGTGTGTGTGTGTGTATATATATATATATATATATATATATATCAATCATAGGAATAATTTACCTATATATGTATGCATCCTGAAATGAATGCAGCACACTGAGAATGGGTTAATCATTTTTTACAGTAAAACTTTGAAACAATTTGAGATTTGATTCCTTCTTATTTCTTTCATAAGTTAATCATGTTAGTATATTTTTCATCCATTTACTCAATAATTTTTTCATTCGCTCTGAGAATATTTTTAAAACAAAATTGCACAATACATTATAAATGAACAATATACAACAAAGGCATTATAAGTGTGATGATGTAGTTAGTATGTTAGAACTGTTTAGATCCTGCTAAAAAAAATATGATGAACGTAATAAAGACAATAAAATCTGGTAGTGTTCTTCTAACATAAACTCTATTACTCACTAGAAAATCTGTAAATGTGCTCAATAATTAATTTATGCTTCTATGCTGTTTGTTGTGATAATATGTTTCTCCCTGACTCTATCCTAGTAAAAGCAACAGAATCAGCATCAGTTTGAAGATTGTTATTTTCTACCAGTTCATGACATTTACTGTAGTCTCTTGTGACCCAGACTATGCCAATCTAACAGTTATTTTCATTTCTATTTCTTGATGATTGGCATACTGTCAAAATGTCATTTTTCTGTAAATTATATACATAGAAAACTATAGCTCCAATTTTCTTCAAATATAATTTGGAGTCAAAATGTAATCTTGTTAATGTAAATAATAATAATAATATTAATTATTATTATTATTTATATTATTATTATTATTATGACCACTTCTAAAATGATTATTTTATGTTGTGCCTTTATTTACTTTTCTAGAAAGCTTGAAGAACTGAAGAGGTTGAATACTTTCAGTATACTTGAGGGGAATGAGAGCAATGCCTAGTACACATGATGAGAATATCGGACGAATGATTGTGCTATTTTTTGGCATGCTATGTTCATATTGAAAAAAAATAGGTTATTAAAGTTATGAAAATTCTCTTAAGACAGAATACAACTTGAGAAGTGATGTAATGTATTTTATTGAAATGTACACTGCTCAAAAAAAATTAAAGGAACACTTTGAAAATCTCAATGGGGAAAAATATCATGCTGGATATCTAAACTGATATGGACTGGGTAATGTGTTAGGAACGTAAGGATGCCCCATCATTTGATGGAAATGAAAATTATCAATCTATAGAGGACTGAATTCAAAGACACCCTGAAAAAAAAGTGAAAAAATAATGCATCAGGCAGCTCCAGTTTGCTGAAATTTCACTGCAGCAACTCAAAATGGTACTCAGTAGTATGTATGGCCCCCACATGCTTGTATGCATGCCGAACAACATCGGGGCATGCTCCTAATGAGAAGACAGATGGTGTCCTGGTGCAACCTGGTGGCATTGGATGGACTGAAACATGATATCCTAGAGGTGTTCTATTGGAATTACATCAGGCGAGCATGGAGGCCTTTCAATGGTATCAATTCCTTCATCCTCCAGTAACTGCCTGCATACTCTCACCACAGGAGGCTGGGCATTGTCATGCACCAGGAGGAACCCAGGACCCACTGAACCAGTGTAGGGTCTGACAATGGGGCCAAGGATTTCATCCCAATACCTAATGGCAGTCAGGGTGCCATTGTCTAGCCCAGGGGTGGGCAAACTTTTTGACTTGAGGGCCGCAATGGGTTCATATATTGGACCCGGGGGCCGGACCAAGAGTAGATGAATGATGTGTATGTGTCATCCATAGTAAGTATAGTAATATTCCCCCATAGTAAGCATAGTAATTAATCCCCCATATAGTAATTCATCCCCCATAGTAATTCATCCCCCCCATATAGTAATTCATCCCCCATATTAATTCATCCCTCATATAGTATTTCATCCCCCACAGTACTATTCCCCCCCAAGTAGTAAGCCAAGTCCCCCCCTGTGTCAATTCACTTACCTTTGCTCCGCGCGTTCCTCTTGCCGTGTTCCCGCGCTGTTCCGGTCTTCAGGGCGGACTGTGAGAGGAGCCTAGCTCCCCTCACGTTCCTCACGCAGCCCCGCCTACACACATTCTGACAGCCAATGTTTGCCACGCTCCCGGGGCCGGATTAAAAGGTCCTCCGGGCCGTATACGGCCCGCAGGCCGTAGTTTGCCCATTGCTGGTTTAGCCTGTAGAGGTCTGTGCGTCCCTCCATGGATATGCCTCCCCAGACCATCACTGACGTACCACCAAAACGGTCATGCTAAATGATGTTACAGGCAGCATAACTTTCTCCATGGCTTCTCCAGACGCTTTCACATCTGTCACATGGGCTCAGGGTGAACCTGCTCTCATCTGTAAAAAGCACAGGGTGCCAGTGGCAGACCTGCCAATTCTGGTGTTCAATGGCAAATGCCAATTGAGCTCTATAGTGCCGGGCAGCGAGCACAGGGCCCACTAGAGGATGTTCAGCCTTCAGGCCACCCTCAAGTCTGTTTCTGATTGTTTGGTCAGAGACATTCATACCAGTGGCCTGCCAGAGGTCATTTTGTAGGGCTCTGGCAGTGCTCATCCTGTTCCGTCTCACACAAAGGAGTAGATACCGGTCCTGCTGATGGGTTAAGGACCTTCTACAGCCCTATCCAGCTCTCCTAGAATAACTATCTGTCTCCTGGAATCTCCTCCATGCTCTTGAGACTGTGCTGGTACACACAGCAAACCTTCTGTCAATGGCACATATTCATGTGCAATCCTGGAGGAGTTGACTACCTGTACAACCTTTGTAGGGTCCAGGTATTGCCTCATGCTACCAGTAGTGACACTGACCCTAGCCAAATGCAAAATTAGTGAAAAACAGTCAGAAAAGATGAGTAGGGAAAAAAATGTCAGTCACCTGTAAAACCATTCCTGGTTTGGGGGTCATTTCG